TTATCTGTCGTGTGTGTCTGTATAATATGATAATCTCCCAGCTCTTCTTATCTGTTGTGTGTGTCTGTATGATATGATAATCTCCCAGCTCTTCTTATCTGTCGTGTGTGTCTGTATGATATGATAATCTCCCAGCTCTTCTTATCTGTTGTGTGTGTCTGTATGATATGATAATCTCCCAGCTCTTCTTATCTGTCGTGTGTGTCTGTATGATATGATAATCTCCCAGCTCTTCTTATCTGTTGTATGTGTCTGTATGATATGATAATCTCCCAGCATTTCTTATCTGTTGTCTGTGTCTGTATGATATGATAATCTCCCAGCTCTTCTTATCTGTGTGTGTGTCTGTATGATATGATAATCTCCCAGCTCTTCTTATCTGTTGTGTGTGTCTGTATAATATGATAATCTCCCAGCATTTCTTATCTGTTGTGTGTCTGTAGTTTTTAAATGATATTTTACAATGTTGTTCATGTTTTTTATCTTTAATATATGAAAAAAGGGGGAGTAGTAGTTTTCAGTTTGTTGATTTAGTATAACTAGTTTAGCAAATTACTAAATATGTAATTAAATAGTGTATACATATCAGTGTTGTGCTATTAGTGTACAGAAATATATATACAGAGTACTTTGTATAGGGGAATGACTGTCACTTCAGGCAGTGTTACAATACACAAGGATGAAAGTAATCTGATTGGAATCAGTATAGGGGGAGGAGCCCCACATTGTCCATGTCTGTATGTTGTTCAGGTGTTTGATAACACCCCTGCAGCCAAAGATGGAACTATACAGTCTGGTGATGAGATTGTGGGAGTGAATGGAACATCAGTGAAAGGAAGAACTAAAGTTGAAGTTGCAAAGATGATCCAAGGAGTTCAAGTTAGTTGACCCAAGTTTTAGTACAGTCTAACTAGGAAGATTTCTCAAGTTTAACTAGAGTTAGTTGACTCCAGTTTTAGTACAGTCTAACTAGGAAGATTTCTCAAGTTTAACTGGTGTTAGTTGACTCCAGTTTTAGTACAGTCTAACTAGGAAGATTTCTCAAGTTTAACTGGTGTTAGTTGACTCCAGTTTTAGTACAGTCTAACCAGTTAAACTTGAGAAATCTTCCAAGTTTTAGTACAGTCTAACTAGGAAGATTTCTCAAGTTTAACTAGTGTTAGTTGACTACAGTTTTAGTACAATCTAACCAGGATGATTTCTCAAGTTTAACTAGTGTTAGTTGACTCCAGTTTTAGTACAATCTAACCAGGATGATTTCTCAAGTTTAACTGGTGTTAGCTGACTCCAGTTTTAGTACAATCTAACCAGGATGATTTCTCAAGTTTAACTGGTGTTAGCTGACTCCAGTTTTAGTACAATCTAACTAGGACTATTTTTCAAGTTTAACTATTGTTAGTTGACTCCAGTTTTAGTACAGTCTAACCAGGAAGATTTCTCAAGTTTAACTGGTGTTAGTTGACTACAGTTTTAGTACAGTCTAACTATGAATATTTCTCAAGTTTAACTAGAGTTAGTTGACTACAGTTTTAGTACAGTCTAACTAGGAATATTTTTCAAGTTTAACTATAGTTAGTTGACTCCAGTTTTAGTACAGTCTAACTAGGAATATTTTTCAAGTTTAACTATAGATAGTTGACTCCAGTTTTAGTACAGTCTAACTAGGAATATTTTTCAAGTTTAACTATAGTTAGTTGACTACAGTTTTAGTATAGTCTAACTAGGAATATTTTTCAAGTTTAACTATAGTTAGTTGACTCCAGTTTTAGTACAGTCTAACTAGGAATATTTTTCAAGTTTAACTATAGTTAGTTGACTCCAGTTTTAGTACAGTCTAACTAGGAATATTTTTCAAGTTTAACTATAGTTAGTTGACTCCAGTTTTAGTACAGTCTAACTAGGAAGATTTCTCAAGTTTAACTGGTGTTAGTTGACTACAGTTTTAGTATAGTCTAACTAGGAATATTTCTCAAGTTTAACTATAGTTAGTTCACTACAGTTTTAGTATAGTCTAACAACAAATATTTCTCAAGTTTAACTAGAGTTAGTTGACTCCAGTTTTAGTACAGTCTAACTAGGAAGATTTCCCAAGTTTAACTAGTGTTAGTTGACTACAGTTTTAGTATAGTCTAACTAGGAATATTTCTCAAGTTTAACTAGAGTTAGTTGTCCCCAGTTTTAGTACAGGCTAACAACAAATATTTCTCAAGTTTAACTAGAGTTAGTTGACTACAGTTTTAGTATAGTCTAACTAGGAATTTTTCTCAAGTTTAACTATAGTTAGTTGACTACAGTTTTAGTATAGTCTAACTAGGAATATTTCTCAAGTTTAACTGGTGTTATGAGTAAAACATTTCCTTCTAACATTTTCTACAAGCTGTTGTTTATACAAAGAATTGTGTTTATGATGACAAAAAATATACCAAACTTAATCTTCTCTTACAAAAAAGTCACTATGGAAAGTGTATTTTTCAACTTAAGTATGAATGTGTTGTTTGTACCTGGTTATGTGTCTGTAGTGATGAATGCAGTGAAAGCTATACTTGTATCAAGCACTAAGTATGACAGTGAAGTGTAAAGGATAAGTGGTCTGTTCACAGGAAAAGTATTAACACCTCAACATGTGGTTTCATTGACTTGATGAATAAAAATCAGATTGTGAAAAGTTTTTCTAATAGATCTAAACAGCTCGTGTTAAAAAATTTTTCATTACATGCATTGGAATTATGCATTTTTTCTTAAAAAGGTTTTCTCTTAGACACCATGAGACTGAGTAGCTCAAATTTTGAAGTCCTGTTTAATATCACTTACTGGTGTCAAAAGAAAACTCTTGAATCAGTAAGAAAAGTTAATCAGGCTGATACCAACTCTTCAGTCTACTAATGGAGGTCATCATCTGCAGCCTGTTTATTCTTCCAAAGTGTATCACATATATATGTGAAGTAAATACAAGTTAATTTGTAATAGAAAGTTGTATAACATTGGTAGAAGTTTATTTTTGTCTTGTGAATTTTTGCCAGGATGAAGTGACCATTAATTACAACAAGCTTCATGCAGATCCAAAGCAAGGAAGAACACTGGACATAAGTATGTTTTTACTTGTTGTTTTAACTACATTCAGTCATGTGAATTTTTATTTATTGATATATTACAGTGGTTTTAGATGTAGTGAATAATAGTGTTTCCAACATATTAAGATCTTTCAATATGAATTAATAAAGTAGAAATTCATAAAAATTCACATTTGCTAAGCTATTATGTTGGAAGAAAGCATAATTAGCTGATTAAAATATTTCATTTTGTTGATAAACTACACAAATTAAATGTAATAAAACGTGTAAAGTAGAAATGTATGAAAACTTTCAGTTGACATAATCCTGTGTATAAAAAAAATCCAACAACATAATTTTTATTCATTAAAGTAGCTAAAACAGTAAGATTTTGTACTTTTAAACTATATATTTGTTAAATATTAGTAAGTCTGTATGTAACATTGGAAATAATAAATAGAATCATACTTGTTTCATGTTTTTAGATTTCCATTTTAATGCATTATCTTAAAAAAATGTAAATACTGTGTCAAAGACGTTTTATTAACTTTATTGCTTAGAGTACTTTCCAAGAAAGACAGTATTTATTATTTTTTTTAACTTTTCTGTTTACCTTCAAGATCAGAGACAGCCATGGGAAGCATGTACTCAAAGAGTCATCATTAACTTGTACACTACTACCCTGTACATTATAACTTTATTTTTTAATAACTAGTGCCTTTAATGAATTGGTCCATTTCTGAGGTGTACACTAACCTACTATGACATCTTATAGTATAACAATTTAACTTGTACACTACTACACTGTACATTATAACTTTATTTTTTAAGAACTAATGCCTTTAATGAATTGGTCCATTTATGAGGTGTACCCTAACCTACTATGACATCTTGTGGTATAACAATTTTATTTGATGCATGTAGAACTTTCAAATTATTTTAAAATGTTTGTGAAGGTATTTTTGTGACATTATAGTGGTATGTCTTCAACTTGTCTAATTTCAGTTTTGAAGAAGATGAAACATAGAGTGGTTGAAAACATGAGTTCTACTACAGCTGATGCTCTGGGTCTTAGCAGAGCAATATTATGTAATGGTAAGTTGACATGTTTCAGTTGTTGTTTACCAGTATAGAAATAATATTGTGTGGTGGTAAATTGACACTTTTCGGTTGTTGTTTACCAGTATGGAAAGTGTGGTGGTAAGTTGACATGTTTCAGTTGTTGTTTACCATTATGGAAAGTGTGGTGATTAGTTGACACATTTCAGTTGTTGTTTACCAGCATGGAAAGTGTGGTGGTCAGTTGATACGTTTCAGTTTGTTGTTTACCAGCATGGAAAGTGTGGCAGTCAGTTGACACGTTTCAGTTGTTGTTTACCAGTATGGAAAGTGTGGTGGTAAGTTGACATGTTTCAGTTGTTGTTTACCATTATGGAAAGTGTGGTGGTAAGTTGACATGTTTCAGTTGTTGTTTACCAGTATGGAAAGTGTGGTGATTAGTTGACATGTTTCAGTTGTTGTTTACCAGCATGGAAAGTGTGGCGGTCAGTTGACACGTTTCAGTTGTTGTTCACCATTATGGAAAGTGTGGTGGTCAGTTGACACGTTTCAGTTGTTGTTCACCATTATGGAAAGTGCGGTGGTCAGTTGACACGTTTCAGTTGTTGTTTACCAGTATGGAAAGTGTGGTGGTCAGTTGACACGTTTCAGTTGTTGTTTACCAGCATGGAAAGTGTGGCGGTCAGTTGACACGTTTCAGTTGTTGTTTACCAGCATGGAAAGTGTGGCGGTCAGTTGACACGTTTCAGTTAAGGAGGGTATTGGTTCATGTGATTATTCAGGTGTGCCACTAATTTTTAGAGTAGAAGGGGATTAAAAGAAAGATCAAAATAAGGTGAAAGGGGTCTGTGAGTCCTTCTCAATGGGTGACATAGGTTGCAAATGCCTCTCATAAGGATCCAGGAGGCAAAGCCCTCCTCATCAGGAATACGTTTTTAGTAATTCGAAAGGAATGAAACTGATTTGTTGTGAGAGTTTTTCACATGGTTTCTAATAATCACCAGCTTCACCACAGGACACACCATTTTACCTGAGTAAAAGAAAACTCGTGTTTTTTGGGTGACAACAATATTAATCACTAAGCCTTAGTTAAAAAGAATAAGGCTAGATATGCTTTCATTAAGAGTACACTTTTCTTCTTGTGCAGATAGCTCTGTAAATTTTCCATTATGTCTGTTGTTGTGTTGTCTTGAATAAACCAATTTGCATTCTACCTTTATTTATAATTGTAACAGGTGGTATGTGTTACAGTTTCTTGTTGTAGTGATCTCTACTTTAAGTATCTCAAATCTGTGATGCTAAGTTATTTTAACATTTTATTGTTATCTTTGTCAGATAGCCTAGTAAAGAAGCTGGAAGAATTGGAAAGAAATGAGCACATGTACAGAGGAATAACAGAGCACACAAAATCAGTGCTTAAAGCTTTTTTTGATGTTTGTAAAGTCTACAGAGGTATGTGATAAACTTCTCTTTATCACTGATGTGAAACTTATAACATCAAGTTACAAAATATAAAGATAGCAGGATCAAGTGACAAATGCTGACTACAACAAACTGTATGTTTTGTGTTTTGGAAATAGTATTAGTTAGATCAAGTGTTATACAAAACTTATGTTTTTATCTGTTCTTTATGTTCTAACACAGATGGACAGAGAGTAGTGAGGTGTTACTGTTTGGAATGGTAGGTTTCTAACATAGGGTTGACAGGGGGTGGTGAGGTGTTACTGTTTGGAATGGTAGGTTTCTAACATTGGGTTGGTAGGGGTGGTGAGGTGTTACTGTTTGGAATGGTAGGTTTCTGACATAGGGATGGCAGGGGTGGTGAGATGTTACTGTTTGGAGTGGTAGGTTTCTAACATCGGGTTGGCAGGGGGTGGTGAGGTGTTACTGTTTGGAGTGGTAGGTTTCTAACATAGGGATGGCAGGGGGTGGTGAGGGGTTACTGTTTGGATCGGTAGGTTTCTAACATAGGGTTGGCAAGTAGGTTATTAAACACGTACTACAACATAATGTAGTAATTACATGTAAAAATCTACTATTCTGTGCAAGGTTGGAATCTAGCTCAAGTTTATCAAAAAATATATGTGATTATTAAGAGCTGAATTATTTTTAAACCACATATTTAATTCTTTATTTCAGGGTTTGGTGATGTATTTTCATCTATTGGTGTGAAAGAACCACAGCAAAGGGCCAGTGAAGCTTTTACGAGGTTTGGAGAAGCTCATCGGTCAATGGAAAAATATGGGATTAAACTATTAAAAACTATTCGTCCAGTAAGTTTGCAGTGTTTGTTTAATAACTTTGTTGATAACACCTTGATTATTCTGTTTTAACAGGCTGCAAGCGTTTGTGAAAAATGATGTGTATCAGTTAATTTTGATAAAATAATGGAGTCTAAGTTATTGCTGGAAAGTACTTAACATATAGTTTTCAGTAATACCATACCTATACACTTAGAGCTGTCATTTTTGGGTAGTGTGGTTGAATTTTATTATGTTAATGACTTTGAACTTAAGGGACGTGAAGGTAAAAACCCAATCATGATATAACTAGTGCAGATAATTATATCAGACAGTTATTAATATCTTAATGTATTTTCTATGTATGTAATTACTATTGAGAATGTAATTCAAAATTTACTTTTTTTCCAGATGCTGAATGACCTGAACACGTATCTAAACAAAGCGGTACCTGACACACGGCTCACTGTGAAGAAGTATGTTGACACCAAATTTGAATATCTGGTAGGCATCAGCTAAGAGGAATGTATTACAAAATACCTGCTATATAACTATACACTTTGGCCATTAATATGTCTGACTAGTTCATATAAAATTAATATTTGTTTGTAGTTCTATTTCCACAGAAGATAGACACATAGTTTGGTAGATATCTGAAACGTAAAGTATCACATCATAGTATTGTCTTGTGTAATTACAGTCGTACTGTCTGACAGTAAGAGTATCACATCATAGTAATGTCTTGTGTAATTACAGTCGTACTGTCTGACAGTGAGAGTATCACATCATAGTAGTGTCTTGTGTAATTACAGTCGTACTGTCTGACAGTGAGAGCGTCACATGATAGTATTGTCTTGTGTAATTACAGTCCTACTGTCTGAAAGTGAAAGAAATGGATGATGAAGAATATACCTATCAAGCACTTCAAGAACCTTTGTACAGAATTGAAACAGGAAACTATGAGTACAGGTGAGCCCCAATAATCAGAACATTTTTATCAATTTTGAAAACTTGTGAAAAATTGTTTTTAGATGAAATTTTAATCTTAACTATCATGTTGCTGTACTTCTCACTTTGGTTGGGTCCACATATTATACCATATTACATAATTTATATTTTTGTCTGTTACAACATTCATTGGGTCTTTCATGGCCTGATGGTTAAGACACTCAATTCGCAACCTGAGGGTCACTAGTTAGAATCTTTGTAACCTGTATGGTTGCTGAATGGCCTAGCCGACCCTAAGCTAGTTGGGATGAACTATGTCTCTACAGGCTTGGTCAGTTCGTCCGCGATCGTGACCCGAAATTTATCTTTAGAGTTTCCATACTATAACTTCTAATATGCTTTTGTATCATAATGAAATTTTGCAGGCCTTCAGTGAACACTGTCTTTTATTAAAAATTTCTTCATGAATATATGGACTCAAAGTGTTGACTGCTCTGAGTGCAAAGTGATTTTAATGTTGACATTAAAAATATTTTTCTTCATGTTACTCTATAGAATCATGTAATGCTTAAGCTATTTGGAGCTCAACTCGTGAATATTATTGTTTTTTTCTTTATCTTACTTAGTCTAACCTAATAAGTTTCTAATTCTACATTTTAGTTACTTATATAATAATATATAAACAATACACATGAAAAACAAGAATTATAGTACTTACCTAGGTCATCTTTATTTTTGCTGTCGACGAAAGTTAACCCTACTTTTTTATACAAATGATAGTAGTGCACAAAATAATTTTCATTTAATTGAATAATGCACCAAAGAACATAGAATAATAACACACAAAAAGCAAACCATGTCCCATAACTATCGCAAGTTTTCTGGCTTTCTAACTATGAGACAATAGCCGATTACAAATTCTTCCAAGCTAGTCGATGTGTTTCCTACGGGAATAAATTTTGAACTAGAAGTGAAATAGGCAATTCTCTGTACAGGAAATAATGTAATATGATATATCATTTGATAGATTAAAACTTTGCTGTTTTTTTGGTTATAAATCATATAGTATTAAATGTCAGAGAGAACTATTGGCAATTTGTGAATGAAAGGATGTGAAAGCCAGACAAGAGGGGTCTGATTTTCTAGTTTATGGCTCTTTAATCAAATAAGATTGAAGGCTATAAAAATTATGCTTTGTCTGAGTAATAACAATATTATAATAAGTAACTTACATTAAATTTCGTACTTTTCACTTGTCAATTGCTTTTTAGAACTTGGCTAGATCTCCTACTGATTACTTGTTTATTTAGAACTTTGTTATATCTCCTACTGATCACTTGTTTATTTAGAACTTGGCGTCCGTTGATGCTATGTTTTTGTATGGCGTCTGTTGATGCTATGTTTTTGTATGGCGTCTGTTGATGCTATGTTTTTGTATGGCATCTGTTGATGCTATGTTTTTGTATGGCGTCTGTTAATGCTATGTTTTGTATGGCATCCGTTAATGCTATGTTTTGTATGGCATCCGTTAATGCTATGTTTTTGTATGGCATCCGTTAATGCTATGTTTTTGTATGGCGTCCGTTAATGCTATGTTTTTGTATGGCGTCCGTTAATGCTATGTTTTTGTATGGCGTCCGTTGATGCTATGTTTTTGAGAAGTTGCTCCATTATGTTGAGTATACCAAGTAGCTCTTGCTATACATTTTTTTAAGTTTTTATCTCACTTGGTTTATTATCAGTTATCATAAAACTTGAAGAACAAAATAAGTACTATTTCATGTATTAAGTTCTTTAGTGTCTTGTTAGAAAACAACTGATTTTTATAACATTATTTTTTGGGCTTTTTTACACTTGCTTTGAATTCAGTTCTTAGAATATACATATATCTTAGCCCATACAAGTAACTGTTGTTTGACTTTTCTTTACTCTGTAGTCTTCATGGTTTGTAATTGCAGGTTAGTCTTAAGATGTAGACAAGATGCAAGAGCTAGATTTGCCAAACTAAGATCTGATGTCCTTGTTAAGCTTGAACTGCTGGATCAGAAACATGGTAAGTACATCTTCAGAGTATTACTGATGGCTTCTGTCTGTCTAGAAATGAATACAAGTACATCTTTAGAGTATTACTGATGGCTTCTGTCTGTCTAGAAATGTATACAAGTACATCTTTAGAGTATTACTGATGGCTTCTGTAACATGGTAAGTACATCTGGAGAGTATTACTGATGGCTTCTGTCTGTCTAGAAATGTATAGAGATACATACTCGGAGTATTCCTGATGACTTCTCTCTGTCTAGAAATGTATAGAGATACATACTCGGAGTATTCCTGATGACTTCTGTCTGTCTATTAATGTATAGAGATACATACTCGGAGTATTCCTGATGACTTCTGTCTGTCTAGAAATTTATACAGATACATACTCGGAGTATTCCTGATGACTTCTGTCTGTCTAGAAATGTATACAGATACATACTCGGAGTATTCCTGATGCCATCTCTCTGTCTAGAAATGTATAGAGATACATACTTGGAGTATTCCTGATATCTTCTCTCTGTCTAGAAATGTATACAAGTATATGTTAAGAGTATTCCTAATGCCATCTATAAATCCCCAACCGATGAGTCGTATTCCTGACGGAATGATATGGTGGATCAGAATGGTATCAATTTTGTGTAGATTAATGACAAGCTTGTACTGATCTTGCACCAATCATAAATGTAGAGGTTGCACATTGACTGGTATTCTTTTCTCACTTCCATCAAATATACTGTTGGTGATTGTGATCAGCTCAAACTTAGATTCATCTGTAAAGAGCACACATCTTCATGTTTGCTCATTTCCCTGTTTGTGGTCTGATGCCCATTTAATTAGGTTATTTATTTTGAGCAGCAGTTTTCCAGCAGCTACATGTTTGTTAAGATTACTTCATGCGAGTGTGTATCAAGATCACATCCACATCTGTAAGATCATTGGCAGTATTCATACTTGACCTTATAAAGAACTTACCCTTAGTTGCTTAACAACTGTTTGGGTTTTCTACTTCAACCACTTTAATTATTAACAGTGTCAATGTCACGTATCCTCCTCCGAGTCTTATGTACAGCTTCTACTGAAACATTGATCCTTTTACATTCAGTATTTTTTTACCAGTCAAGACTTTGAATTCTACACATTTTTATATGGTTTTTCAGTCCTGGCAGCAATGATTGGAATCACACTACTTCTACTATGACTACCTGTATGTTTATAGACGTAGTATAAGTTATCTAGAAGCAAATGTACTCTAGTTAATTTCACTTGCACGTGTGTTCTTGTAGCATTTTCCTTTTACCCTCACTTATTTCTAACAAGTACATCTTCAGTATGTTCATGAAGTTTTTCTTTCTCTTTACAGTTATTTGTAAGGGCGTAATTGTTTCTATTTACAGTTTGAACCTAATAGTGTAGCTGCAATTAGATCTGGAAATTTGTGAAACATAACTGATAATTTTTTGTTTTAGAGAACATATGTTAGGGATTTTATGTAGTATTTACACTTGATGTATTTAAGTTGTAAAAAAAAAAGTTTGATCTTCATCATGTCACTGAGAAACTCTTTTTGTATGAAAAAGTACCATCAACAGTCAACATGTTTTAGTTTTGAGAAAACAATTTCTTTATTGTTCAGTATTAGTGTCTGTTTTATATATTACAAGATATAGTCTTCCTGCTGAACTGTTTTGTGTTAACACTACCCCACTACCATAGCGATTGTCATGTTATAATGACATTTCTTGTTTTATCACAAGATATAGTCTTCCTGCTGACCTGTTTTTTGTTAACACTACCCCACTACCATAACGATTGTCATGTTATAATGACATTTCTTGTTTTATCTATTACAAGATATGTTCTTCCAGCTGAACTGTTTTGTGTTAACACTGCCCCACTACTATAATGTTTATGTTGAAATGATGTTTCTTGTTTTATCTAGTACAAGATATAGTCTTCCAGCTGAACTGTTTTGTGTTAACACTGCCTTGCTACTATAATGTTTGTCATATTATAATGATGTTTCTTGTTTTATCTAGTACAAGATATTGTCTTCCAGCTGAACCGTTTTGTATCAGCACTGTCCCACTACCATAATGATTGTCATGCTGAAATGAAAACAGCCAACATCTTTCCCATTGAAGTGGATCTTTCAGGCAGCACTTTCCACTACCCAGATCCAGCTGTTAGTCCATATCAAGATGAAGAGGATGAAGATGACGACGACGAACTTTTGGAAGCAAAAGAAGCCAAAGAGATTGTAGAAGGCAATCTTTTAGGGGACTAGTCTTTATTAATTAAACACAACCATGTGTAAATATGTTACAGTGTTCAAGAGTATGTTAAGCTGTGTCAAAATAGAGATGTAGTAAGAAAATTAAGAGGGTTTCTTGAATGTAATGGCTTTGCATCATTGTTGTGATGAGTTATTTTTACACATTTATGTAGAAATGATTTATTTCATTTTATTTTTATTTTATGGGACCAAAACTATAGACAACTACTGTTAACTTTCAAGATCATGAGTAATTTGATCTGTTATTAAGTTATGAAACAACAGAATGTCACTACCTGTTAATAGTTATCAAGTGTAGAGTATCGTTAGAAACAGAACGTCACTACATGTTGACAGTTATCAAGTGTAGACAAGTGTTAGAAAGAAGCGAATGTCACTACATGTTAACAGTTATCATGTGTAGACAACTGTTAGAAACAACAGAATGTCACTACATGTTAACAGTTATCATGTGTAGACAACTGTTAGAAACAACAGAATGTCACTACATGTTAACAGTTATCATGTGTAGACAACTGTTAGAAACAACAGAATGTCACTACATGTTAACGGTTATCATGTGTAGACAACTGTTAGAAACAACAGAATGTC